AGGCGGCTGAGTGGGCTCCCTCCTCTGACCAGGTCCCACCAGATTCGCCAGCCTCGCATGTCATTCTCTGCACATGCTGACTGCACAGGCCGTCTTGCAAACCAGCTGCGCCTGTAGGGAGCTTCTGCTGAGGCCATCCACATCTTGCGCATACTTGGCCTGCAAAGGCGAATGGTGCTGGCTACTGGCACCAAGGTTCTAGTCATGCGACTGTGACATTGGTTGATCGGCGAGCAGCGAACAAGCCCGCTGTGCAGACGAATACAATGAGCATGACCACACCAATCAGCAGGTAGATTATCATCAGGCAGCGGTAGCCCTTCCTCACTAGCGGCAAAACACGAAAAGAGCTCCATGCCCTTGCACGAAATACTTGGTCCGTCGTGCCTCACTGCGTAGATCCCGAAGCCGGCCAACAAAGCAAGGCTGACACCGGCAGCTAGCACCACATAGACTGCAGTGGTACTCATGTAGCCTTCGATGACCTGCCGACACGGAAGCTGGCTTTGATCTACTGAGGAGCTGGCGCGCCTCTTGATTGTGCAGCACAAATCCGCAGGCAGCAGCAGCTATGAGCCCGCAGATGAGCACAATGGTGGTGAGAACGTAGAACATCTTCTTGGACTTCTCCTTTCCGGACATCATCCCATGATGAAAGAAAAGAGCCGTGTTCTCTCTCCAAGAGTACCCGCCACCCTGCCTGGCGCCCAGAAGGGCAAAGGCAGCTCTTGCAGCAAAGGCCCCAGAAGCAAATGTTGATTGGGATCAGAACGACCCAGGACCTACCGTTTCTGTCATTTCACGTTAGGACGAAGTTGACATCCCACGTGCGCAAAAATGTGTAGACAAATCTTGCAAGCTTTCAATTTCGCCGAGCAGCAGCCCAAGCAGTGCTCGCATGCAAGGATCACCCATGAAGTCTGCTTGGCACTCTTTGAGATTGGAAGCATGATCCAACAGCTCGTTGGCCCATTTCTCCGGACCTGGCCACGGCATCAGCGCCCGACATCCATGCACTTGGTCAGAAGTGCTTCGTCCTGGCCTGCTGACGCCACCTCGCCGGCCGGCGCATTTTTGCAGGATGAATACCCCAAATTGTCAAGAACGCTTGCATCGCCTGGCGCCAAAAAAGTCGAACAGACACCTTGAAGCTCGCATTGCAACAGTTGAAACAAACCTCGCCTGTGAAGCACTCAACATCACATAATGACTTTCCATTCTCGATCCGGCTGCTGCCCGTGCAGCCAGGAACACACTTCGCCAAGGCTTGATCCGTGCTGCTTGCCTTGGGGCGATCTCACGGCGGACATGCGAAACTCCGAGCGAGGGCCAGGAAACAGGTTCACCGTTCAGCTGCTTCCGCACCCTTTAGCCAAGCATCTGCGGCCCATGTGCGGCCACACTGGGAGGAGGCAAGCCCAGTCACCGTTTGGACAGATGGCCTCGCAGAGTGGCGTTCGGCATGCCAGTCAGGGCACACACACAAGCCAGGTGCAAGCCCACCTCTCGCCACATCTGCTGCTAACAAAGGCACACCCCCGGCCCTGTCCCCAGTGAACACAGTCTGCATTGCCTCACATCGTAGAGAACGGTCGGCTTCATCAGCTACACAACAAAAAAGCGCGGCAGGTCATGCAGCAAAGCTACTGTAATTAGCAAGATAGTGGCCCATGTCCTCGAAGGCCGCCAGCGTGACGGCCGAGACTGCATCACCATTTCCATAAGCCATCACATCATCTCGAAGCACTCGCGTCTCGTGATGCGAGTCACGACCATATGGTGGCCAACTCATCAAAGGCAGGCCCTGCCACGCATCATCGTCATCGCAGCCGAAGAAGGCTTTGGCAACTTCGTATGTGCGGGTCCCTTTGACAAAATGATACACTACATCTTCGGATCCGTCAGCATCAACCACTCTTCCTCGCTTGACGTCAGGGCTTGGCTTCTGCGCGGTTTCTACTTCCTGCAAAACCTACGAGTACTTCAATCCAAGCATCTCTGTTCCAGGAGAGTGCGACGCTCCCCCGAACTTCCGTAGGCATTCAACCATGCACGAGAGCCAAAGCCCAGTCCATGAAACACTTCGTGTATGACCAATGCCCTTGCAGATGACATCAAGGTCTCGCGCGGAATGGAGGAAAAGTCATATCTGGAGTACCAATTGAAAACAATGTGGATAGGCCTTCCGTTCTGATCTGCGGAGCAGGAGCCGCCAGTGCCTCCAATACCAGGCACTGGAGACGGACCAGCAATACTCAGCACGACGTCCGCCTGGACACCCTCTTCACAAAGTGAATCCTTGGCTAGGCTGAAGCCTCTGTTTACATACTCACAAATCGGACAAGTCAGCCTCTGTTTAGGATATCGGATATCGAATAGGCCACCCTTTAGAAAGACTTATCTTGAGATTAACACTACTTAGCACCAGAAGGACAAGCATTGATGGTTCATCTGGTCTCCGGAACAGCAACATGCGATCCTTTCACACAGTCAGCACTGCAGTAGCTGCCCAACTGATTGGTGGTTCTCCACATCGATGGAAAGGAGCCTTCTGATTTCTGAAGTTTTAAGTTCCCTTGCACCGACTTCAAGTTTAAATACTTGGGGATGTCTGCCCCATGCTTGTGAACTGCATCAATGACAAAGTCGCGCCAAGTCGGAGTGATTACATCCTCAGCTGTGCATCGGCACCATTTGTCCTGAGTCAAGATCTCCATTTTCACCACATCACGGTTGCAGTCATCTGGGCCTGATCCTGTGGGCTTTGGCTCGGTGGGAAAGTTCACACGGTACCAGTCACCCTCATTGAAACAGTACCTGTCCCGCAGCAAAGGGTTTGCTTGCACCTTGTCCTCGTACAGCGTGTCAAAATTATAGTGGACTCGGATAGGGTTGGTGTTGGACTGCGACAGGGTCCCACCACCCAGTCGTCGGTCTTTCCGGCCCCTAGCATAGCTCTGGACATGATGCTGCAAGGACCTCCCGTACTTGTCCACGATCTGATCCAAGAGGGGCTTTGGTGAGAGACCTCGGAGTGGTACTTCAAAGCCTTCTGCTAGCCTCCTCCCCTCGAAGTCGTCTTTGGCACGCATGGCATCGGCACGGATCTCTTTTATAATCTTCCCTGCGTGCTCCATGCCACGCATGTCATGGTGAGCACGTCCAGCAGCTTCAGAAGAGACGAACCATGCAAAAAGACACGAATAACTCAATCTCAATCCATTCCGGGCCAGCGGAGTGGCCATGCCCTGAGAGAAGCCCCAACACATCAGCTTCGTGCAGTCTGAACTGGTGTCAGACACCTTGCACCCCTTGAGCAAAACACAAAAGTCATCAAGCCAGATCGATCAGAACAAAGCCAAGCCAACCTGTGTCAGCACCCTCGTGCGCGCCGCGAAACTTAGGCTGTAACAGCTTTCAAGGTCTGTCAGTGCTTGCCTGTACCTAAAAGAAGCACTAGGCCGAAGGCAGTAGGCAACCATCATCTGAATAGGCAACGGGCCTAGGACATTTGTAAGACTCTCGCTGATGTCCGCCGTCAACGTGGAAGAGATCGAACCGTGCATTCGGATGCTGCTGGTAGTACTCCGGCCTTTGCGCGACTGTGAGATCGAGACACTCGTAAATCCTGACCATCGCGAAAGCTTTGGAGCAGCTAAGCTGTCAGCAGGGTAGCGTTGCTGGATCCTTCTACCAGGTGTAAGCCTCAGGTATTGACAGCATACGGTACACATGACTCTTGCCTGCCAAGGCCCGAGCGATCCTGCCCGAAAATCGATTGCAGCACCTGTTCGATTCGTCTGGAACACGATCAGGCACATGTCCAACCGTGCCTTCGCGCAAGGCTTGGTGTACGTGTGCTCACATAGGTCGAAAGCAACAACCTTCGCTCTCGGGTTCGCAAGCCTCAGATGCTGCTGACTTGAAGCTAGCGGGTTGCAGCAGTCCTTGCGCTTCAGCCGAGTGGCATCATCAAGCAAACGGAATGACCCGCATTGAAGCCAACTTCGAGAAGCACAGGCTCACATCCTCGAGGGACAATCCAGACAGGTACCCCACAAACTTGAGGCGGAAAGCAATGCTTGGGGCCATGCTTCGCTCACACAGCGACTGCGACAAGTGGAACAAGTTCCTGTTTGTTGTGGGAGCTCCAAAATCTTGCACCCGAGTGAACATGGAAGTTCTGTTATGCCTCTGTTTCGCTTCCATGTCTGGCTGTGGTTCCCAGGAGTTCCTTGATGTAGCTCTTGCACTGGTGAACGCAGTCACTACAAGTCTGAGTCAAGGCGCCACGTGTGCATTATGTTGCCTTCACACGGCTCACCGGAAGCCTTGAAACAGCAAAGTTTTTCAAACAAAAACCATATGACCAGCATGTACTTGAAGCTGCGACACCGCAGGGGCCTCTACGCAGCTCCGCAACCTGACGAAGGCATCGGAAGCAAGGGCCTGTCCGCTCGAGCAAGAGTTCAAAGAACTTGGGACAGATCTTGGCAGATTGGGGTAGTTTGTGCTCGCTCCCCGTGCCTCTTCAAACGTTCTCATCGACTACAGGTCCAACGTCTCCATGGCAGTGCCTGAGCCAGGAAGACACCTGCCCACACATGCGCCAATGAAAAGTGCAGAATTACGGCCAGGGCTGATGCTCATGCAGCACAAGACCTGAAGTGAAGCCACACCCCCAAACAAATGAAGAAAGCAACACCGGCCTGTGCTGCAACAACCGCACCCCGAGCGCGCCATTGCAAAGCTATCGCGAGGTATGGTCTCCACGTCGGAAAGCACGAAAGCTGTTATGGCTGGTGACTTCCCAAGGTCATAATGATACCCAAAGCTGCACATGACGAATGACCTGCTGCTGTGCCCTTCTTCTCAATAGGCTCTCTGGCGAACGGAGATAATAACGACAGAGTGAGCAGCCTACCAGCACCTGACATTGAATGGTCGACAGTTGGCACACCGAAGAAGTTGCGAAATCTCGCCGCACTGAGCTCGCCAACACAGCCCCTTGCAAAGGCGGCAGCTCCTTGGCCAAGGGGTCGACACGATCGACACTGTACCGAGTTCAAGTAAAGCTTAGCCAGGGGGACTTTGGGGGTTATGGGGTTGGCTGGGAGCTTTTGGCTCCCGCATGGCAGTCTCAGAAGATCCTACACGGCAGGTGTTGCACAGCTACGGGAACCGAAGTTCTGGGAAACTGCAGCTTCCCACCAGCAGCTTGTCAGCACTCCTCGTGATTCTGATGTTACTAGATTTGGTGAGACGGGCATGATGTTTCTGTGACATCTACGCATGTGTACAGGACAAGAATCTTCAAGTTCGCTTATGCTCCAGGTGGCCCCAGAAGCTCTTGTGGCCAAAGGCCAGCAGAAGTGAAACGGTCAAACAAATCTGACCTGGAGATTGATAAGACGGTTTATCTGAGAATTCGGCAAGCAGCTTGGCCGATAACCCGTTAAATCATGGCTCAGGGCAGATTTCCTGTTGATTAGCTCTCTCTCTCTCTCTCTCTCTCTCGCTCTCTCGATCGGAACAGAGAACCCAACGAACACAGGTTTATCAAGGCTCGCGAAAAAAAGGCATCCACCCGCTATCAGCATGCGCAAACCTGGGAAAGCGTTTGTGAAATCATTGGGCCATGCTGTAATTGCGTATTTGAGGCACATCCAGGAAGGCGCATACCGAATTTCCACATGCAGCAATCTCGGTCGAAGCTACGAGGTCAGAAAGGTTCGCACGGCCTCGACCCTCGAAGCCACGAAGACGGCAGGATGGTGATGCACAAAAACGCAGATGAGGAGCTACGAAATTCATCCCTAACCTAGCAGAGGGACCGAACAAACTTGCGCAAAAGGTAGAGTGACGTAGATCTGAATCTGAGCAGCACACGACCCAGCGGTGAGAGGGCTGCGTCGTCATGGCGCCCTGCGCCACATGCCTGAGGCTTCGGTTGCAAGGCAAACCATCCTCCGAGATTTCAGAGGTCTTTGTGGCCTGTTTTCCAGCTGCGGGCTGCCGGACACACTCGCTGCTGGGCTTCCTGGCGGTGCGCAGCAGAAGTGCTGCGGAAACTGCCGGGTGCAGGGCCGCAGGGCACCTCCCATGGCAGCCTGGGCCGTCTGGGGCAGCACGAGCCTGGACAAGGCTAAGGCGGCGAAGGTCAGGTTACAGTCGGTTACAGGTTTTCTGGCGAGCGTCTGGCTGCCCCTGTGCAACTAAGTGGCCGTGGCACTGGTGACGCAGGCAGAGTGACTCCGCACTGTGCCGCATGAAGGAAGGGAGCCGATGCTGTCAGGAGGTTTGGAGTTTGGACCGTTTGTGCCCTGGCTGCTTGTGCTGCTTCAGCGGCCGCCTGCGCGGCTTGCACCCCCTGTGCAGCTTGCATCTGGGCTGCTGCCTGGGCAGCCTGAGCAGCTTGTGCAGCCTGCGCTGCCTGGGCTGCTTGGGCTGCTTGGACCGCCTGTGCCACTTGCGCTGCTTGCGCTGCTTGCGCCGCCTGCGCTGCTTGCGCTGCCTGCGCCGCCTGCGCTGCTTGCGCTGCCTGCGCTGCCTGCGCTGCCTGCGCTGCTTGCGCCGCCTGCACCTCTTGAACCGCCTGCATCTGGGAGTGGGAATGGGAGTGAGGAGCTCCACAACCCACACTTGGGACGAAGCCCTGTCCGCCGTGCGCCGCCTCGACGGGTGAAAAGACTTGCACTGCTGGGCTGTCGTGTGCCATTGAAATTGGCTCCGATGGAGGTGGCCCAGAAAGCAGCTCTGCCGTTGGTTGCCTCAGCCAACGAGGACCCTAGGAACGGCTGCTCGTGCAAGCACCAGCTGTCCATAAAACTGCAGCCAAGTTGCTCTTGATAGCCATCGCTCATCGGCACGAAAATCCCAGCATGAGAACTGGGGTTGGCTGCTCGCATGATCTTAGTGAGGCCAGGCAGGAGCTCATGCTTTGCGGGCGAATGAATTCTTTCTGTGGGCAAGGCCGAAGGAATGGTGAGACTTTTTGGAGATGTTGGTTGTGGCGGGGGAGATCTTCCGCGATTCGCCCCACTCATGTACTGAGTTGCACCGCAGCCTCAGCGCAAAGGGCAAAGCCAGTGGAGCTGTTCCTTTTTGTATCTGAATCTTCCAGCGGCCGAGCTGCAAGGGATTGGTGCGAAGGCAATGCCCTGTCGCACTGCAGGTGACGGGGTTCGCACTGGAGGGCTCAAGGAGCGGGCCTCGTGCGAGAGCGCTGAGCCAGAACAGGCATGCTTCCGAGCTGAGACTGTCACGAAGCGATGTCCAAATGGCTTTGTCGGCGACTGCCTGCGTGGCCCAGCCCAGCTAGAGCAAACTGTTCTGCTGCCACATTCCTCAGTCCGTGGCGCAGGCCACACCATTCCTTGACATGATCGCTTCGGCAGGTGTCCACTGGCAATTTGACACCAGTCTGCAAAGGATCGGAACGGCGAAGCTGATCGCAAATCAGGACTGGTCGGAGTCAGGAAACCAGCAGGCCTTGCAGGCTGTACTGGTAGTTTTCATGGGGCTCACATCATGCATTGAACGAGACAGCATGGATCATCAACTACCTAAGGAAGCTGCAGCTGCATCACATTTGGTGATGGTGCTCCGCCGGACATGACCTGTAGCACTGTTGCTGCCACATTAGAGCACAGCACAGTGCAGCAGGTATCCTCATGACAACCGTAGTTTCCAAACCAAGCTCTGGACATCTGGAGAAAGCCTGTGAGCAACTGGCTCGGAGATGAAATTCCTCAGCCAATGGCAATTAATTTCTTGGCCACTGGGTCGCTCAAATTCCCTGAGCCCTGCACATGTCAGCCACAATACCTTCGAGCAGGACAGTTACGACTTACTGATGAGGGTCTCGTCAAGGCATTGGGGCCTTCCATCTGGCTGTCGATTTCTACCAATCTGGTGCTTTGGTCCGATCTCGGCACCTGAGCAAGCACTCGCATGGGGTGTTTGCCGTTGGCATTGCTTTCGTGGCCTGATGGGCCTGCGAGTGGCTCGCACAGCAAACCTGTTTCGCGAATTGTGAGGGCAAGCCTCTGTAAGCTCTGCAGCAGGTGCCTCCGGCCGTCAGCTTTCACAAGCGTGTTGGCTCTGATCTCTCGAGCCAAAACCACGCTGCAAATGCACGACTCGCCTCAACCCAAGGCCAAGGGTGCATGTGCCCAAAACGCCGAAGACAAAAATAAAAACACATCTTGTTTTGCCTTGGGGCAGTTTGAGATCTGTCGCACTGCTCTCACGGAGCCACCTTTCCTGCGCACACACGGCGTGATGTGCGCACCCGACTGATGCAGCTAGGGTCTGCCGGCCTAAAACTTCCAAGCCGTCCCAACCTTGAAGCTTATTATACGAGGCCTTAGGCACGTGCAGCTCTGTGGCTGACTGGGGCCTTCAGGTAGGCTAGGCACGCTGTTCTGCCGAATGCAGTGGCCTGACAACCCCTTGTCACGCAAACTCTGGCTCTGCTTGCGACCGGTCACTGGTTAACATGGCAGTCCGCTGAATCTCTTTTGGAGTCACTGGTTTCAACAAGTGCAGCTTCGGCTGGCGATCGGGATTGAGTCCGCAATCGGCAGTCAGCATAGGACGCAAGCTCGAGTATAGAGGAGCTGCTCTGCGGCTGAGACAAATTCAATGACAGTGTTAACTGATGGCCTCATTGAAGCCACGTGGTTCGTGCCAGAGGACACCCAAGCTGTTGCTGATGCTGTTTCTGTTGTCGGCACTGGTGATCCTGTTGGTGCTGTTGCTGTTCCCTTCTGTCACTACATGGTCAATGCGTGGTCATTGTACTTCGACAGGAAAACAAACGTCAAAAACACACTGCACTCGAATTACACATCTCTGAGGTAGGCTAGGTTGGCATCACTCGAGAAAACTGCATGCTCAGCAGCTGCATGTCTCGTCGGGATGCGCATCTTCTGCTGTCAGGTGTGCACACATGTCCTGCCCTGAAGGTGAATGCCGTGCAGAAAAGGATCTTTGGATATCTTTGGTGTTGGGTGACTTCCCCTGCCCGTAGAAGTGAAGCCGACCATGGAACAAACCTTCAAAACAACAACGACTCTCATAGAAAGACACAGCAAGAGCACAAGCAGCAACAGCAGCAGCCGCAGCTCAGACCCGGGAAGTCGGGCCCACCACCGGCCAGCAACCCTTCAGATTGGGTCCTGCATCGTCCGTGATCGTGCGCCTAAAGGGCGCATAAGCTTCAGCATGCCGGAGAGGTCATCTGGCAAAGGGCCTTGCAAGAGAATGCGACAACACGAAAGGTCTCGGCAGCTGCACGCTCAGAAGCCCACAGAAGCCACTGATCAGGTTGCCTTCGACCAGCAGCCCTGCAGAATGTATGTCTTCGCACTTTCTGTGCAGGCACTACGGCCTCCTCAAAATCTTTGAGTAGATTCTTTCTCTAGGACATAGGGGCCCGATCGAAGGCGGGGCGCCCTGGGCGATTTAGAGGTTTTGCAGCGCAGTGTAACAGAAGGAGGGTTGCAGCGGGAGCAGGTTCTCTCGCTCTTGTCTTTCGCAAGGGTAGAGGAAAGGGGCGCGATCCCTTTCCAAGCGCCGCAGGCGCCCCTCATATGTTCGCTCTTTCTTTCGCCAGGGCGATTTCTCTCGCCAGGGCTACGGTGCAGGGGTTTGCCCCTACACCGCACGTGGAGCTGCGCCCCCGACGGTTGCGGGTGCCATTTAGTTGCAATGCGAGCGAAGGCCACTCGTCGGCACAAAAGGACAAAGTGCGATCCCTGGGCATCAGGTCCCAAATGAAGAAAACAGAACAATGGCGATACTTAAAGACACGATGTGATTGCACTTGAGAGGTATGTTACCCCTGGGCCATCGCTTCAGGGCATTCGCACGACTGAGATCGGGCTTGAACTCCAGGGCTCCCTCTCTCTCTCCCTTTCGCCCTCTGCTGCTGCATCCAGATGGTCCGACTGTAGGAGGCAGCTCAACAACCGCCGGATTAAATCTCAGTGTGTCACACAGCTTTCATAATCCGTGAATCTGACAGAAATCTCGACTTCGATATCATTATAAGTTATAAGTTGCCCTGTGGCCTAGGAATGCTGCATGCAAGAAGATGCGCGAGCACCACCGATCCAAGTCCTGGTGCGGGTGACTTGTCTCCACATGCATATCAAGCCAACTCTGATTTTCAGGTATGGCTGAGTGGTCGTCTGGGTCTGCTCCATAAGTGGCATCACCTCAGTCAGAAAGGTCCACTCTGAACTGCCTGCCGTGGCCACAAGAGTGCATCCCATGCATCGTTTGGGGCTGCCACCGAGCAAAGGAAAGCCTTCGCCGCTCAGGTGCGCCTTCCAGGAACGCGGCAGAATTTCGACAAGCCTCGTCTGTTGCAGCTCTGAGTGTTGAGCCCGAATCTGGTGAAGCCTGCCAGTGAGGATTTCCACCTGCATGCATGTTGTGCCTGTGGTGCTGGCCGAACGGGAACAAGTCGCAGCAACGAAAAAGGCAGACAGTTGCCAGCACAACTCTGCCACATTATTTTGTTGATTCCGCACGTCGCGGGTGTCGTTTACTCCAGGTCCACATCGGCCTTTGTCAGTCAAGTTGCAACGAACAGAACACGATCATGGAGCACCCTTGCCGAGGAAGCTTTGCGGGCCAATGAAACTATTGGCGAAAAACTCAGGCACTGGCAAGAGATGCTTCCTTGGTAGCAGGATTCTCTGGCCCAAACTACAGCGGCTGGTTCGTTGCTGAGTAGCGGAAACAACGCGGCCGGGATGCAAGAGCCGACTTTTTGCTCTTGAGGACATCCATCTCCATGGTTCGTGCCTGCTTCTTCGCCTTGTAGTTGGCGATGAGCTTGTCACATTCCTGCCCGCTGACGCAGCGGCTGCATCGACTCAAGCTTGCCTACGTGCCTCCCACTACGAAGTACTTCAAAATTTCAAAATGAAAGACCCAACGAACGTTCCGCCATGGCTCGGCTTTCAATGTCGAGGCGAGCTGATCCGTGAGGCCCATCTGCTCCTGCAAAGCCTGGACCAGCACACACACACACACACTCTCTCTCTCTCGCTCTCTCTGCGCCATCCGGCTGTTTAGAAGTTTAGAACTCGAGATGGGCTTGGGATGGCGTTGCGGGCCTTCTGTCTGTCCTGGATTCGCTGGGACTCAGCGGTCAGGGCTGCCTGACCTCCAACGAAGTCCGTGAGGGTGTAGGCATCCTTCCGCCGGGAGGCCCGAGCCACCTAACGGGGCAGCCGTCGAAGAAGGCACCGACTTGAGTGGGATGGAACCTTTACCAGCTCCACATAGGCGGCTTGGTCGGCTGCCTCGCCTCAGCCAGGAACATTGTGCCCCCATCCTCATGCAGTGGCCTGGGCTGCTGTGCAACTGGGCGTCGAAGTTTCACTTGCTCGACCTCGGACCGAACTGCGTCGATGACTGCCTGCAGCGACCTGCCAATACCAGCCCAGGCTTGAGGCCACCGTGGGAAGCTCACTTTCGTGACCCCGACCTCAATGCTGCCTTGGTGTCCGTTCCTGAGGTGGTCTCCAAGAGGAAGCCGAACTCCTGAACCGGTGCAAGTCTACAGCCAAACTTGTCTTGACTGGGCCAAGGTCCTCGTCGTCCTTCTTGGGTTTTGGCCCATCAAGGGTGCCACCCTCGGGACGACATGAAGACTCTCTCTGTACACCACAAACTCGACCACTTCCAGTCGGAGCCTCGTCTAAGTATTTCTCAAGAGAATTCATGGCTTTATGCATCACCTTGGTGCTGGGCCCGCGCAGTGAACGAAAGGGGAAAGGACAAACTCTGTGCATCCTGGTGACATCCACAGCCGCAGCACCTCGGCACTCTGTTGTGCATCTCTGGGTCACACTGAGAGGATACTCAGCCGCCACCTTGCGCGATGGATGTTGCCAAATGCTTGTGCTCCTTCTCGCGAAGCTCCGTGGCTTTGGCCACTACCCAATCAACCCGAGTTATCGACATCCTTTGTTGAAGAACGACAGCACTGGGCCGGGCGACTCACGAACATGGGAACATCTGTCACCCATGCTTGCGGGTTGAGATAAGCAGCTTTTCAGCGGCAACGTCCCTCTCCAGGGTTTCAAGCTGCTCACTCAGCCTGGGTGCCAGGATCGAGTGCATCAGAATTCAGTTGCGACATGGATCCCGTACCCAGCGCAGCTGAGAATCGTAGCGATGTCAGCAGCTTTGGACTGCGCTTTCTCACTAAGGGCTGCCTTAGCTTCGTCGGTGGATGCGGCTTCGTCCTGACATGCCATGGATGTAAGCGCTTCTGCCACGAGCATAGCATTCCTCTCCGGAGCCTTGCACATTTGAATCTTGAGGTTGTCGTCCTCCTGGGCCTTCTCCAAGACCTAACGGTCAGAGCAAGGTGAGACTTCTGACATAAAGATACTAGGCTGCCTCGACGGGATATCTGCTACCTGAGATGACTGCAGACACCATGGAATCGACGAGCTTGGTGATCTTCTCCAGGGCAGGACCTTTTTGAACAAGACCCCAGCCCTTCATGGTATTTTGGGCAGGTGCGCTTTCAGGATGGAACCGCAATGCTTTATAAGTTCATCGAAGGAGCTTGGCTTTCCTCTGAGAGCACGTTGCCCGGAGGTGTCGTGCGCATTCTGGTGCCTGCTGAAACTGGCTGTACGACGGCTTCCCAGTGTGTGCCTGTCCTGTGCCTCTGAGCCACTTGCAAGAATGTCACAAGGGATGCAGGCTTGAAAATCTCTAGGTCTGTTCCAGACAGCCTGCAGCTGCCGGCATCAAGAACTCGTCTGCCCCGCCCCCCACCGCTCCACGCTCAGAATCAGAGGCGGGCACATAAGCTTCGCTGCGCTCTGCAAAGCTTTCTGCTCTTCCTGCATCTCCATCTGCCTTGAAGCCCATGTAAAGGCAGGAATTAGTCGCTTGGCACTGATCTTCTTTCTTGCTGAGGGTCATGGAAGCATGCTGCCCGCGCCGAATTGTGCACCAATTCTGTAGACTCTTGCCGAGCTTGTCCGCATCATCCACAAGAGCGGCTGTGTCCTAGCGGCCATCTCATCGTCTGGGGAACCCGAGATGCTGCAAACGAAATTGTCGAACTGCCTGACGCTCCATGCGAATGGTTGCCATCTGTTTCTGAAAGGCAGCATCACGTTCACCCTTCTGCTGCAAGCTCCTGCTGACCAGGAAGATAAGAAAGGCAGGGAAAGGACACGACTCAAAGAATGGGCTTATCCTTTGCAGAGACTTGAGCTCGTCTGCTTTCGCCTTCCTCGAGGCCAAGAGGAGAGACCGAGATTGAGATATTTGTGTCATCTTGTGTTCCTCTGCACGGTCTGATAAACTGCAGCCCAGGATTCTGCATTGCGGCAAAAACCGCTGCTCGCTTCGCCTCTTGAGTCTTCAGCTCCTTCATGTCTTTCTTCACGCCATCCTGCCGCTTGCGCTCTGGCAAAAGGATGGGCTGGACCGAGCTCAAGGGACGGGGTCAGTCCAGCATGCTCTTCAGCATCTCCTGAGAACATATCACATGCTGGCAAGAGCCCTTGGCACGATTCGTGATGAAGAGCTACCCGCCCATGAAGTGCAGTGATGAGGAGCCAAGACTTGAATCTTCTGGCCGGCAGTTGCATCTGGAGCTTGAAGCATCTCTATGAGTTCCGTGGCGCCTCAATGCCAAGTACAAGAGCACCCTCGCACTGTCGAAGCACACGTACGCTCGGCAGTCACAGACCTTAACATTCAAACCTCATTGCTGCAAGGATGCTGCTCGCCGACAGCGTCAGTCTCTGAAATGCTGCGTCACCCGTCTGCACAAACTTGCTGCCGTCGCCTCACAGGAGGCGAGGGAGACCAACAGTCGTCCCATGCACACGCAGGCAGACCACAAGATCCCCGAGCCGAGCGCCTTTAGACCTGAGTTACACGGTGGGGAAGAAATGCAAATTTGACCGCACAGTGCTGCGTGTATTTTGAGAGTCGCGACAGCTACGGTGGAGTCTAAGCCTAGACACTCCGAAGACTTCTGCTCGCCGATGGAGGTTCCGACCTCCTTGCATCGCAGACAATCGCGAAAGCCAAATCCTGCCTTTGCCTGCAACCTGCGGTCGAATGTCAGCATCTATGACCGTCAAACGAGCATCTACAAACATGGGAATCGAACAATGCCAGAGCAATGCACACAACCTTCGCCCTAACCTTCTCAAGTCCACAAGCTCAGCGTTCGATTGCCCAGCGCTTACTCTGGGACATACGTGCTTTGCGAAGTCCGCGGGGGGCGCCGATGCCGAGGTACTCGAATGCACTTACCGCTGTGCAGACTTGCCGACCCGCTGTTACTCGAGTTACTAGTTCTTTTGCCTGCCTGCACGCTGCACCTTGCTTTTGACAAATACGTCAGTGCTAGGGACCCTTGTCCAGAGCAGGCAACAAGAAATCGGTAGAAGTCCTGCACGGCGAGAAGCTCTTCTAGTCGCTGTTGGTTTGCCGTCAGGGTGGCAAGCTCCTGTGCTGCGACCACCAGCATCTGGACTAATGCAGGATGTACCGAAATTTCCCCGTCCTTCTTATAGCTTTGCGTCTCGTCAGCACGAATGGCTTCTGCCGTCTGGAGAGCAGACTTGCAAGATGCCGCATCGTTCTCATGAGCCTCGTTCCGACGAGAGCAGATTTCTGCTGCACAACGCTTTGCTACGCCCTACCTCACGCTACGCGTTCTCTCCTCTCTCCTGCCTTGATCTCTTCCTGAAGTGCCTGTCGCTTCCTCTCTGCTTCGACCAGCGCCAGCTGGAGATGAGGCAGTTCGGACTGCGACTCCTGCCGCTGTCGCCGCTGTCAGGCTGCCAGGCAGACGGTGCAAAAATGTCAGAGTCAGCCTTGAGGCTTTTTTCGAGGGAGGTGTCTCCTTTGGCACCTCGTCTGACTCAGCTTCTCAAGCTAGACAGGACTGTGGCAAGTCATGCAGTCCAAAAGGCAATAGCTTCCGAATTCCTCGTGAAGCTTCTTCTCTCTCCTTTACTGCAGCAAATGCTTCCCAGGCAATCTGTCACACTTGACTGCACAGCTCCTGTCTCGCACGTCCACCCGCTTGGCTAAAGCCTTGAGAACGCGAATGACCTCCTTTACCGGCGCAGCGGCAACCTCATCAGCTTGGAGAGTACCGGCTGCTGTGATTCCGTCAATCCGGCCTGCCTGGCCATCCTCCATTGGCTCTGACACTCCTTGTCATACTTCGACAGCATGAAGCAAAGCAGCATCTGCCAAAATTCTTGAGCTCGCCTTGCCCCAGCATCCCACCGTCCTTGCCTAATCGCCATGAGTTGACATGCTTACGAGTAGCAGTACACTTGCAGCGATTTGCATGGTGACGTGGCCTTCGAGGTTGGCATCCAACTCTGTCGAAGCCATGGAGCTGTCCTGCCAGCACAAATCGCTCTGCAGGAAACACGGGAGAAAGAAACAGGGATAAACCCAGAACCACAGGAGCATCTCTGCCAACGAAGTGCTTTGGCCGCACTCTACAGTCACCGTTGACCGGTCCTGAACGATCAACCAGTTACGGCTAGTGGCTTGCAATCACGGCCCCCTGCTCCGGGTTCGGGATGTTGTTTTGGCATATGTTTGCTTCGGGACTCCATGGATTTGCCCGGGGCACTGTCGTTGCATTGTGTTGTTGCGTTTTCCTCGACCTACGGCTAGAAATGGCTAGAAAGACTCTAACCCGCGCCGGCGAGTACCAAACTCTCTGCAGTCTTGCTTTGTCCGAAATTTTGGATTGGGGATTGGGGCCGATGTGTCATTCCTTAGCTGGGGGTTGCTTGGATTCGCCGGACATTTCGGATTCTTGTGGGAACAGCAACTGGGATGCGGAATGCCGCGGCACTAGTGGGAGAAGCAGTCGCTGCCGTTTTGATTGTGCACTAGCTACTGGTTAAGACATGATCACACTATCGAGGGGGGCAAGCTGGCGCTCGGGATGTTGTCCTTCAGGGCAATCGCGACTGGAAGGCATAGCCATAGCCATGCCTGTGACAAGAGGGGCCCTTCTGCGACCTGCGACCTTCAGATCACTTCTCCTGCCTTTCGAAAGAGCCTCATGCCGTCACAACCTGCCCGCTTCAGTACTGCGACTCCATCCTGCAAAACAAACTCCACACCTCACTTCATTGAGGGCAAGCCCCGGAGTGTGCTCTGCACGCTGGATTCGAGCCAGATGATCGCGGATGGATACAGATGACGGTGACCGGTAGCATGACATGCCGATATGCCCACTGGCTGAACTCGAAGCCGCTGCCCTGCCTCAAGCAAACTCAGAGGTTGGCCCTGAGGCCCCCGGAAGTGTGCTACGCTTTTCACCTGCTTGCGCTCGCACGCGCCGAAGCCGAAGCCGTCTTGAAAGCCTCCGACTCTGGGCCCCTGGCCAAGGTGCGGCTCGGGCGGCCTCCGGCTCCTCAAACGCGCGGTGATACAATTACAAGGGACCGCCTTCCAAAGCTCTACAAAGCCTGCCTGTCACACTTCGCTTTCCAACGCGCTCATCTCGCACCATCCTGGCCGGCATTTTCATACGCTGGGCCAAAGGCTTGAGTATCTGAAGCTGAGCTGCTGACTTGAGGGGTGCATCAATAGGCCTGCAGAACATGCGGCAGGCACATCTCCAAATAATTACACTTGACAGGTTCTTTCCAAAATGGTCGAACCGAGATTGAAGCCCACACTTCCCAGGCGGATAGTGCCCATGACATACACAAACATAGCCTCAAGTCTCAAGACGGCTTGCTGATGTGGCAGAGGGTCCCCACTAGGCCGGCGACGTTTCTGGACCCTCCGCAACAGAAACCTGACATAGCAGCTGGCTGCAGACCGAAGAGCCTTGGGACTTCTAGAGCATGCACTAGGGCCGCAGCGCTACCTGGCCAGCATAGTATGCCGAAAACCTACTCTGGCACCACTCGAGCTCGAGACATCGCAAAGTTGTTGTGATTCTACTCGGAGTCGAGGAGACCACGTTTTGGCGAAGGCGACAAGCCCAGACGTGTTTTCGTCGAGCCTCGGCTCATATCAAGCAGGCTCTTCCTTGCGAAGCTGATTCCGAGACGCCGGCCGATGCAACAGCCCGTGCCTCACTCGCAATTGTGAACACAGACTTGTGATTCTCGCCGCGTGATGAAACTAGGACTACTAAGAGGCTTGCTGGGCCTCTGCATCGTGCACCTAACAGCAGGGCATTGCAGGATGATGGCGGATGCATCTGGATGCCATAGTTTCTAGCAGCTTGTCTGCTGAGCTTTGGACGATGGGGTGTGCGCCTTGGAGAAGCAAGGCACCGCATGCCAGTGCAAACAGTGCACATCAAACTCTGAGGGACTTCTGCCGGGGTGCTGAAACATCGCCGCAGCCAGCTTTGCAGCATCTTCGCTTCGCCTCGTCAACAATGTTCCAATGCGTCTGCGCGATGTGATATCAGATCAGCCTCGTGGTCCCTTTCCTTCCATATCCTCACCCTTCCCAGACAGCCGATCTTTGCCGACGGACATGGTCCACCCTGGAAACATGCAGAAACCAGCGTATCTCTTAACAAGCTTCTTTCAGTGCCTGGTGGCTTCCACAAAAAGCAGATTGTGTCTGACTCAACAATGATGGAAGGCTCCTGAGAATTGAGACCAATGCTCAACTGTCAAATGTATCACTACCAAAGCAGCCTGCCCAGGAGGAATCAACGGTGGGCGACCTAGGCTGCTTCACGTGAACAGGGCAAGAATGCTAGAAGGCCCTGTTAGTCTGAGATGCTTGCTGGTGAGAACCTGGCTGCTCGGCACCGACTTGTCCTTACGCTGGGCCATCCGGCTGCAAATCGCCCTGCCAAGACCTCACTCGAAGCTAGTCAGCTAGTCCCAAGGTGAAGCCTCAACTGCAACAGCTCCTTTTTCTTCCTCAAGCGACATATCCGCTGCAGTCCCCGCCCTGACTCTGAGAAGAGCCTGGAGGCCTAAACTAAACGTCCTATGCTGGTGCCAAGCACCATAAATCAATTCCATGACCATGTGCCAGGGGCCATGGGTCAAGAGTACGGAAGAATCAAAGGCTTCGTGTCCCAAGCCATGTTCCTCGAAGTAACTCTGACTGTGTACAATAGAGACGGCCGAGAAGAAATGTACGGAACGTGGCTTTGCACAGAGCTGTTGTGGAAGCAACAGCTCGGTCTCATGCTCCAGGGCAAGATGCTCTGACAAGCTTGGGAAACTTGTTAGATGCCACTGTTCGTTTCATTCGGCGTACACCTGCATGTGTACCCCACGGGCATAGATTCCAAAATTGAACGGCTCTCCATAACCCCAAGCTTGCAGCAAGAGGGCATGGTAAATTGAACCATGCTTGCGTGGAAACCCCGAGCATTGACGGTCTTCTGGATCAAGACCTATGCCCTCGTATTTCGACAAGGAGGCACTGGCATGCCACAAACTCGGGCAAACAGCACCGTTGGAGTAAGGGCGTTGGGAGGTGTACGTTTCAGTGCTTTACTTAGTCAGGCTCCTTCTGCATATCCGGTCTGGTGAATAAACGACGGCTTGCCAGGCAAGAAGTGCATTGACAGCCGAAGAACAAGACTACAGAATGTCAGTCAAGAAACGCATCTGCTCGCAAGATGACAACGACGTGCTGAACTTCTTGCATAGCAGTGGATCTGAGCCATGTAAAGTGCCCACCCCATCTCAGATGCTGGCAGGCATTCCACAGCTCTACTACATCGCTTCCCCATCGTCAGGCCGGAGGGCTTAATCGTGAGAGCGATGCAGTCATCGGAACAGTGGCTTCGGCAGCGAGGCGAGAAAGCGTCCGGTGATTAGCTTCGGACACACTGACGTAGTTAGCTCGGGTTCTCGGCAGCTCGGCTTCTCTTGCTCGCCATCGACTGCTTCTATATAACGAAAAACTGCAATTCTTACAGTGTGAGTTGATTTCGGGATGCAAAAAACACCATGCCGGCATCAAATTGAAAAGACGAAAGGGCATGATGCTGGCCCTATCCAGAGACCGCAGCTTTGCTGCAGGATCTTGCCTGCAACGGCTGCTCCCAGAACCAACGAGACCTGGGCTATGCCTGGCCGTGGATGACCTCTGCGGGTTCCTCGTCTGTCGCACCACGACACTTCGCAAGGCTCGAACCGAATCGTCCACATGTCACATAACAGTGTGAGGAGCAACCAGGAGCAGTTCGTCTCATGGTCCAACCCAACACCCCTTCACGACGACCCCAACATCCAGGATTCTAGGTTACATTCCCACCCTTGAGCCTGGCGCGTCTCCAACTACGGGCCAGCGCCAGGGGCAAGTAAAAACAGCGCCTTCGTCCAAGACGCTTCGGCTAGTGGCCGCTGCTCTGCGCCAGCAGCTTCTTGCAGCGATTGCAATATCTTGGATGCAGGTGACGGTAGCCAACACCGATCCATTTCCTCGGGTTCAGCTAGACACAGCCAGCTGCGCAGCTACTGATACGTGGCTACAGTGTGCTGTGAACACATCTGGCAATGCACGATTCCAAGATGCTGGGGTAAACTCTTTCACTAAAGTCACTAAAGAAAGTCGTTCTCAGCTCGAGCTGGGGCTTCTCTCTATGGACATCCGAGAGACTGCCTCCTCGACTCTAAATTCATGAACACCTGCTCACGGCTCGAGTGCATCTTGAACACAGTGAAAAGGCGCCCGCCTGCCAGAATGCAAGCGCCGTTCTGCAAGTCCTGCGAGGGAGGACTTGCAAACGTTCAACAGCTGCGAGTTCTCCGAAGGCATGCCGGCCTTTGGCTCGGACGGCTCCAAGACCTCGGGGGGTACTTCTCAAGTCCCACTGGTTGCAAGGCAAGGCAAGGCAAGGGGACTTTCTCTCCACTTGGAGTCGGGCACAGGAGAGCCTTCTCCAAGTTCCATTCGTGGACTTGTTGTCCTGAATCTTCCAACCTCGGCTCAGACACAGCGGAAGAGCCGTTGCGATACACGCCTTTTTTTCGCTGCAGGCAAGTCGCCCTGGGCGGTTCTTTTCAGAAAGCAATGCCTTCGCGAAACATTTGCCAGCATGGGGTCGCTGATCTGGCACATTGCAGCATTGGCAAGCTCCAAGACTGCTAGTTCTCTTCCAACCTGGACGGTGCAAGTGTCCGCCCGACCGACCGCGCATATACTATCGGTCAGGAGCAGCCTACCAGAACGGAAGCGGAATCGGCGCTTGTAGAACTAGGGCCACCGTTGGAAGCTCGGGCCTTTCCCCCATGCGCGGTCCTGACACGAAGTCAATCTCCAAAGGCGCCTCATGAAGATTTGGGGTGGTCTTGCGCACATTATGGTTTCAGTGAGCTTCTCGGCAGCAGGCCCACGGCACAGACCTCAGCTGACGACAAGTCCGAAACCTGCAGGGCTCGCGACAGCTGGGCTCATGACGAAGAATGAGGACGGATGTCGGGACCAGTCCTGCAAGTATCGATAGGCCCTTCGGGAACCAGGCAACCCCAATGAAGCCACAAGCAACTCCTGCGAGCTGCGCTCAATTATGCCGAATTGCTGCAAATGCCGTTCTTCAAAAGACAGGTGGCACAAGGTGCCACAGCACTTCAATTGACCCCAGCTTGAGTATCCCCGTCTCAGTTTGAACGTCCGGCACTCCTCGCATCCTGGAAGCCGTGAGGAGATTGGCACATCCTCGGCCCACTGCTCTCACGGCTCCAAAAGAGAGAAGATGCCGTGGTTCGCGCGATGGCGACACGTACTTGCGATCGCGTCACTTGTCGGCTAGTGTGTCCCAGGCTTTTCGCGGTCTCCCGCCTCGTGTCATCAGAAGCCACAATTCGAAATGAAGACCCTTCGACTCCTGAACCGGAGCCTGGCTTTCTCTGTTTTCTGCAGTGAAAATCCCAATGCTTGCCGCAGGTTCGCTGAGGACAGACGCAATCTGCTCCTGCACCTCTTCGTCCGGTTCCTGTCGTCCAAGCATCGTGCGCCAATCCCTGAAAAGCACCACGACAAGGCACGGTGCCTTCTCCTCTGCCAAGTTACCCATCGACAGGCTACTTGCGAAAGACGAACTGCCTGACCGAGGCCCAAGCAGCAGCTTTGCAATCTACGGTTGTCTTGCCCTGCCTTGCAGAGAAGAGGAGCTCATGGATCGAGCCATAGCAGACATGCGTTGTCCTCTCTGGCTATGCCACCTGACAAGGACAGGGCATGTTCTCTTTTGGACGCTTTTCACGTGTTCTAGTCTCCGGCCTGTGGGCATTGCAGTGACCACCACAGAATCGAACGACCAGCTCGGCATTTCCAATGCGTATCCAATCCCCACACTTCAAAAGCTCGCCCTCCGGTTTGACCTGCGATCAGTTCTGCAGGATCTCACGTTTGTCCGTTAAACTCGTCGGCCTGCACAAACGTGCCCCACTTGGAGCCAGTGTCCATGATCTGGTACCTCTTAGGCGCACTGGAAGGCTGTGCATAGTCTGTTGACGTGCATCAGGCGGAAAAAGCTTGACATTCTCTCCTGTCGGAGTCGGCATTGTAGCAGATGGCGAGGTGGGAGCGAGATGCAATGGGCTCGTTCATGAACTCGGACATGGCCAATTTGTCAAACTGCATCTACAAGGAATGCATCGGGCCCCTGCTAAGTCAGGAAGCATCATTTTGCGCTTGGACCCTGCGGCATGACAACAGTTAATGGTGAAGGCTCAGACGGCTCAGAACCAAGGGTGCCAATCGATTGGTGGAACTTTGTGCCTCGCCCCAGCTTTGTCCTAGATATCACGGCGAGCTGTGCTGCCCATCTGCTGATTTCTCAATGCAAGCCACTGAGGCATCGACACCCCCATCGTGGAAGTGATGCTGTTGGGGCTTATGAAGACAGCAGGCATCTGGGAGGTCTGATCCGAGCGGCCGTAATGTCCTGGCAGACTGAGAGCAGCTTCGTCGTGAGTCTTACGACCTTGCTCGGGCCTATCCTGATGGAAGTTCCAGGACTGGCCGGTCGTGTGCTAGGTCGCCAGATGCGACACGCAGCAGGAGCACACGCCTCGAGCAGTGTAAGCAGCCTCAGTATCTCGCAGAAAAAGTGCCACAAGCTGAAATGACCTGCCCAAACCAACGACTTACTGCACCTTCGGCACGGGAGGGGATAAAGTCGAGGCTCAAGGAGGGGGCCTTGCTAGGACATCCGCGGGGAATGCAGAAAGCTGAGGCGCTGTTGACTGCATCAAGCGCAGCAATCCGCAGATTATCCTCCAAGCGCCAAGCTGAAGGATGATAAGCGACCCACTGGCCACCCCCTCCAAGGCCTCTTCAGCGCACTGCGATCGATCCACCTCAGTGGAAGCCCACCACCTCGCCTCTGAGTCGCTCAACCTCGGTGCGGGGGCCAGCAAGGTCCGAAACCAGAATCCAAAGGCCGTCTCTGACTGCTCGGAGCAGTGAGACGCATCAGCTTGTCGCGGCACAGCAGAGCCGAGCGGCTCTTCAACAAAGGTCTGCCATTCCATGCGGGTGCCAGGCTCTGCCGGGCCAGACCGCATTCGGGGATCCTGTGGAGTGCGCCTGCATCGCTAAACTGCTGCACTGCGACGGCGAAATGCGCCAGCCTGCGTCGCTTTATACTTGCTGCCGGAACACCCGGCCACCAGGGAGTGAACTGCAGTCGCAGAGTGTTCCGAAGCCTGGCCAGGATGTGACCCAGAACTTAGCCTTCATCCCAAACACGTTTTGACAAGGGACTCGGCCTCTGCCCTGACCATGCATTGCTCATGACTGCAGCGCAACCAAGTACAATCAGCCCCAACGACATGTGTAACTCAGGCGACGAAACGGGCAACTTTGGGCGATTTTGGCGCATGGGGTTGACTGAGCTGGGACAGATTGGCACAAAGCAGCAAGGGGCAGGGGCGGCATGCGAAGGGGTAACCGATGCGACGTAAGATGACGGAAGCGAGAACTCCACGGGCACTTCAACAGTCGCTGGGTGTACCACCAACATGTCTGAAGACTGGGTCGGCTTGAGATTCCTGAGAAAGTTGTCCTGCAATATCCAGCTCTCTTCGCCTCAGTTCTGGGCGCGGTGAAACTGTCAGCACAGCATTCGCCGAGGCCACGGCCTGCGCTGCCTGCGCACTGCGTCTCCGACATGATAGCTTCGTCCACGTCCGGTGCTGTCCGCAAAGTGCGTGTCGCACCTGACAGACAGCGAGCCGCAGCTTCAGCTTGCATGCCGCCCCTGCTTTCTCTTGGGTCTCCAAGCCGCTTGGTTGCGGAGCTGGCCCGGAAAGGCCGCGGTAGACAAGCGCAGCTGCACCGCCCTCCAATGCCTGGAAACACTGCAACCTGCACGATGATTGATTGCAGAACGAGGCCGGTCTCTCTACGAGCCTCCTCCAGCAAGGCATCCAGCAAGTCCGGGATTGAATGCTCGTAGGTTTCAAGCAGGCAATCCCATTGATACTTGTGAACCTCCAGCCGCGGCAGTATGCCAAAGGGCAAAACACAGCTGTGCTGCCGCCAAGCAGCAGTCAAACGACAGGGGCATTGCTTCACTCTGCATGCGTCTACCCTGGCTTCTGAACTTGGTAACAACTTGTGACTAGATGCTGATCAGGCGCCCCCTTTGGCTGCTCTAGCAATTTTTTATTGACCTTTATGCATCTACGACGACTCGACGACCACGATTGCGGCTGCTACCGCGACCCCACGAGACCACGAGGCAACGGTGCCGCGACACGACGACGGCCACTACGACAACGACGACACCACGACGCGACGACGGCCACGACCACGGCGACGACGAGGGCAACTCTCTCGGCGGCTGGCTTGGTGTTTGGACTTCTTGACCACGCGACGTCGCAAAGGCGGCAGTATGTCCTTCGAAAAGTGTCTCGCAAAGAGCATATGCACTGAAGCACCTGCACACATGCTAAACAGGAGGGAGAGGGAGGGGAGGGGAGGGGAGGGGGGAGGGAGGGAGGGCAAAGAAAGCAGGCAGAGGAACAAGAACGTAGCGACGCGGGAGAAAGTGCATCAGAGAACACAAACCATACGGTTATCACTTTATGTGAACTTGCAAACGTAAATAAAGAGATTCACACATAGAAAGGGTTTGAAGACATGCATGCATACATACATACATACATACATACATACATACGTACATACATACATACATACATACATACACTGCCGACCTACTGCGTCTACTGCCTGATGCCTACTGACTGACTTACATTCCGACATACCCACACACCTACAGCGCAGCTGCCAACATGCGTACATACTTACATAGTTACATACATACATATGTACACACCGACACTCAGAGAGAGAGAGAGAGAGAGACAGACAAACAGACAGCCAGCCAGCCAGCCAGCCAGCCCGCCCGCGGCAGGCAGGCAGGCAGGCAGGCAGGCAGACAATACGTAGGCAAGCATGCAGGACTTATTTCTGGTGACCTGGACAAGTTTAGGTGCGCACTGGCATTTTCAGTTTCGGCTCATGTTCTGGCTGGGGCCAATGTTGCAAATACTCACAAACTGCTGACGTGCACAATCGGTCCTGTGCACAGAAGTCTTGGAGAAATTGCTCCTGCAGGCCGTCCACGAAATCGTGCCAGCTGATCTTGGTCAGGCCACCTCGGCTGTCCAGTCCACAAAATTTTCAAACATGTAGAAGCTTCACTCTTCCTGTCCAAATTTCTATATAGCAACATCACCACAAGTTTTCAGCTTTAAGAATTGTACTGCATAGGTGCACTGCGTTGCATTGAAGCAAGTCGCAAAAGTACATGTCCCAGAATGCCCTGCCACCGATATCGCACAGGCTGGCCACGGCAGCTTCCTCGGACACCAAAGTTGCTTGAATCAGGCAAGGCGCATAAAAACTGCATCATCACTCTTTGACGCTTTGCTCACAAAGGTTTGGTCGCGTCTGAGTCTATGCAGCAGCAAAATCTTCGAGCCTTCGCATGTGACAGCCACTGCCTCAGGTTGGTTGCGACTCTGCGGGGAAACCAGGTGCATACGCGAACTGTATGTAGCCCACGGCAAACCTTAAAGTTTTAGGACGCGCTGCTGCAATGCCTGCATGTGCATCCGTTGCAATGTCTGCGACCTGCGCTGGCAGGCCAGCTCCTTCCACACCAGTTGGACCCAATGCCTGCTGCAGGATCTGGGGGTGATTTATGATTCACTTCCCCTCGGCACGAGAAGCATTTGCATGCCTGGCCTCGTCACAGAGAGGTTTGCGATCAAACCGCGAATATCAACCCGCAGCAACTGCTGCAAACGCTTTGCCTCGATTTAGCAGTCGACAACCCAGCTAGAACTGCTGGAACCTCGCTGTTGCAGGAGGCCATACTGAAAACGTGGAAGCTCTGCCAAGGGACGGCATGTGACAACAGTGCCCTGTCGCCTTTGATGTCGAGGAACACAAAGTACACGTAAGCATCGCCGACCTGCCCGGGAGGGCAGCCGGGAGCCCGCGATGATCCCAGAAGGCAGGACATGCACTGACATGCAAGGGGCCTTCCCACACCAATCAGAGAAGGCCTCCGGATGTGGCCGCAAGCGTGCATAGCGGTGCTTCACTCGATGTATGGGACGAAGGCGGCCGAGATGAGAAATAAGTACGCCAAGTAGGGTGGCAGGAGAACCGCTGTGAGACGAGCCGCGAGTCCTCTACAGCCAACATGGTCCCCGATGAGATCCAAGGGCTCTCAGGCCTTTTGTGCCAGAAGCTAAATTATCTTTCCGCAGAGTGGGAAAACACCGAATCAGTCCAAACGAATCCGAACGCGCTGTTCCCGAAAGCTGCGGGAGTGCCAAAATCAGGACTGGAGCAGATCCAACTTCGCCTGAAAGTCGGTCACGTCAAACAAGGTGTCGCGCGCACTTGGTTATCGCAAGTTATCGCCGATATCGCGTCTCCACACCGAGATGCACCGAGCCAGTGCGCTGACAAGATGTGGGACCCCTGAGGTCGGAAGCCTACGAACTTCTTGGGCACGCGGGACTCTACCCTTGCCGGATACCGGATACCGTCGGCATAGATCTCGCGATCGCGAATGTGATCACGCGCTCGTCACGACAACAAAAACAGCTGCCAACATCAAGGCAAAAAGGGAAAACGATGCGTGGGTCACGTTGGTGTCTCGACTGCACAAAATGGCCGACATGCGGTGTCTAAACACATGCAGACTGCCTTCGTGCCTTTGTGCACCTGGATATGAGCATGTAAAAAAGTCAAGAGCTCTGATGCTCTTCTGCTCGCCTCGAAATCCTCCTCACAATGTTGTAGCAAAACTGGTAGCGGCGGAATGCTTGTGCTGCCTGGAGCTCAGGTTTTATCCAACAGGCCGTGCTTAAAGCTCGACGAACCTCGCTCACCCGATGCAAGGTTTTCCAAGGCCTGAGCTGCAGAGCCGAATGCATGACGACTGAAGCTAAAAGCGAAGCTGGCGAGCCTTACCCGTGAGCGACCGGAAATGTCGAAGCACGACCTGCAAGCCAGGACTGCCGGACTAAGGCTTCTTGTCAAAAGCATCACCAGAAACCTCTTGTCAAGAGGCCTCATCAAAGTAAGCGGCCAAGGCAAAGTCGAGCACGGCATCCGGGTCTGACGCCCCTTGGAACAAGAATAGTTGCAAGCAAGGTTACACGTTTGTACCGCAGAAAACCCACTCGATGCCTGATTTGGACTCTAGACTCTAGACCTGATGGGTGCGGTCCGACAACGGTCTCAAGCTGAGGACTTCGCGGTCCAGGATCTTTATGAGATCGCGGATGGCTGCGATCGCTGTGTGGGACAGCTGTGGCTGTGTGCTGCACAAACTGCCCAGGTGCCCAACCTGGAATTGCGACACAAAGTCCCACCAGAAAACATGCAATCTGCCGCCGCATCTCAGCTCTAAGGCACACACCGTTTTCCTCAAAAACCCGTGTGGTGGGTTCGAATTCTCTGCACACTTGCGCAACCTGGCAGACACCAGGTAGCTGTGACGTCATGAGCCCGTGAGCCCGTGCAGCTGCTGAAATCACGATACGGGCTTCAAGACAAGAAGTCGATGCACCGTGACTACAACCGAACCAAGCAAGGAACCTCCAGGTAACCGCAAAAGCTACTGGAAGCTACGAGTGGTGTAACAGCGTGCCCAGCGGCTGTGTAACGAATGTGCAGCCTGACAGTCAGGGAGAGCCTCTGACATGGCAGCAACATCTGAGACACGAAGGTTGCGCGCCTCGGGATCCTACAGCTTTGGTGCTGCAGGCCGGCACAGTGCTTCCACCAAACCTCACAAACCAACTCTGAATCCCTGCACGGCTCACAGGGCGGACAGCCGGCAATGCGAGTTGTTCCGACAACAGTGGCAAACCAAACCAAGAACATCATGCAAACTGGTCAAAACGAGGCGATTCGAACAGTCTGATGGCGCCTCAGCCGTTGAAAGAAGCCTGACGACCCATCAAAGCGCATTTGGATGCAAAGTGCCTGCCGACAAGAGCATGGACAACAGTCTGTGATGCTTCAACGAAAAGCAAGGTCACCTGCAGGCAAGCGATTGTCGGCTTCGTCGTGAGCGGGCCTTGTAAGAGTATGTGTAGGCCTCCAGCCCACAACGGAAAACGTCGACACTCAGCAGGCTTCGGCTGCGTCGTGCCGCTTGAACAAGCAAAGGCTGCGGCCGAACTATCTGATATCGCCCATACATCTCTTACATTTCCACAGAGCCCTCTGGCCGGACTTTGCAGAACTCTAGCCCTCTTCGTGTCCCTCGGTCATCCTGCATCCATGCGGCATCAACTGAGTTTCCCTATAGGCTTCCCGCTGAAACTCTTCTCTGTGAGGCAGCCGGCGTTGTGCAGCACCTCACAGTGGGCTCTGACAGGCCTAGGCCTGGGGCATCCATTGGCCTAGGCAGTCGCCTGCAGCGAACCCATTACCAGCTCAGAGTCGGGAAGCTCGGAGCTGGTCGTCCGCAGCTCCTGCGCAAGGAAAATCTGCATCTTGTATTGAACCAAAAAAAGATGGCACGGTGTGAACACACCACGCCTGCTCCATCTGCAGGAAGTGCTTGTGGATGTCTTCGCTGATGCGCTCCCAGAGCTCCGGCTGGCTGAAGCTGTCTCAGTTTGGGACGAAAGCTCGGCGTAAGAGACTTCGAGTCAAGAGCCGAGTCGACTTGGCCACTGGCCATACCCGAGGCCCTCGAAGGCCTGGGCCAGGACCAGCACCTGTGAAGAAAGCCAGCAGCAAGCACTCCAAAATTCTTTCCTTTTTTGAAGAAAGCAAGCACTCCTCAGACGTCCTTTCATGTGCCGTCAAGCGCACAGCGCGCCTCCTTCCGCTCCTTCGCCTGATGCATCGCCTCAGGGCGCACCAAAAAGCGGGCCCCTGGCCTCGGCCTTCGGGCCCTGCATGGCCCTGCCGGCCTCGATCGCGGCAACAACCACTGCGTCCAGCACGGGGGGCGTCGATGCAACTGATTGCGCGGAGGACCACCTCAGCAGTAGACAAGCCCCGCAACCGCCCTCGTCTTCCCTCAGGGAAGTCCAAGTCCGAGAGAAAAACGCAATGCCGACCAGGCCCTGGAACTGGAATCCTCGGTGGGAGAGAAGGTCAAAAGCCAACATCGCGCCAGCTGCCACTCAGCTCCGAACCTGAAACCCGCCTCTGCACTTGACCCAGAGATTGGCTCATGACCTGGTCTCCAAGCGGTCCCTTCCCGGCATCTGCCAAGCGCTGGAGTGCGGGGCAGGTTCGTGCGAAGACTCGGGGCTCGCAAGCTTCCACAGCCTCACTTTCTTGGCATGAAACGGTCTCAGTAAACAGCGGGTGCTACGGCAGATCGGTCTCGCAGACGGCTTTGGTCAAGACATGTTGGCCAAAGCTTGCGGAGAGAGTTCTGCCTTCCAGTCTTTGTGGCACTTCAAGCAAAGCAAGCGGAGAGCAGCTGGCGCTCGCAAGCTGAGCACCAGACGATTCGCGCCTGCCCAGCTTCACCCATGGACCCAAGCAGCATGGCGCCGTTGTGCTCCAGGCGACCAAGAGCTCATAACAGATTCGACCTGAGGTGCACCAATGCTTGGATTAGGAAAGCAGGGTCTGTCATTCATAGAACGACGGAAGGCTGAAAATCGTTTCGGACTTGCAGAAGCATTTTGGACGGTATCACGAACCAGTGTCGCCACCAGAGCGTCACTCGGCACTGTCTCATTGTAGCATCTTTGCATAGACCTTCCTCTCCTTCTCCGTTCCTTTGCCTTGCTGGCGGGCCTCCGCTGGTCGAGTTTTGTACGCTTTCTTTGGCTAAGTCGGACATGCCGGGTGCCTTCTGCAGCAGCTGCTTTGCTTCTGCATTGCCGGAGTTGGCCTGTGCATCGACCCAGTTTGCGGGTCCCCACAAATATTATTGGCACTTCTCGCTGGCCTCTAGCACTCGGCGCAGATCAACCTCTGCCCTTGCGGCATCACCCGAAGCCAACAGTGCTTTGGCTCGCCGGAAAAGTGCCTCCACAGCCCGTCACTGCCATTCAGCATCTGTGGCGCATGGCTTGGGGCCGGGTCCTTCTCGTTGTCAGGGCTCGCGCGAAGGATCGCGTTGCAGACCGCCTGCAACAAAACACCGAAACCGGGGCAACATGGTACAAACGCCCTGCCCGGCTGCTCCTCCGCTTCCCGCCACTTCTCGAGCTTCAACAAACAGGCTGCCTCAGGACTCTCGGACTTCCGCGGCTTTGACTCGAACGCCTTGCAGCTCAGCTCTTGGGCCCCATACTGCATTCAGCTCACAGAGCACCCGGACATCTTGTGCTTGTGCCCAAAGCGCATTATCCTGCTGCAGACGTTGCAAAAAAGCGTTGTATATTCGTGAAGCACAAAACACCTGCATGTTCGTGGTCATGGTCCCAAAAATTCCGACCATGGACGTGGAAATCGAGTTTCGGTCGTGTTTAGAGCAGTATATCCCGGGAATCAAGATCTGTGCATCCAGACCAATCCGACCTTGACCGTGGCTCAAGCAAGTAACGCAATCAAATCTTCGGACCTATGCATGCATACAGTCTACAGATGTGCAGTTATGCGTGCGTATGCACGGCCTACAGGTGTAGAAGACTCGCACCTGTCCTTGATGTCATCGCGGTGGCCAAGCATCTCGGCAGCCAGGCTGTAGCGCTCAAGCGCCGACTCGAACTTGTCGCGCTTGAAGTACTTGGATCCCGCATCTTTGCGTCCTATAGGGGGACAGAACTGCCAGGTTCCCCGTGATTCTGTATCCCGTGCATCCGTTCCCCGCCAATGGCGCCGAGTCCTTTCGCGTACTCCAGTCGCTCATGTCCTTCGAGCGTGGCCAGACATAGATCCTGACGCTGAAACACAGCGAGCCCAACCAACCGCAACAGAACACGAAAAAGAGCAGAAGGGAGAACCAAAATAGTGACATGCTGAGGGGCTTGAACTTCAACCAGCTGCAGCTTGAGGATGACCTCTTTTCCGCGGCCTCAGATGCAAAGCCTCTAGTCACTCTAGTCGGCAGTAGCAGAGCATTTTCCTCGCTGATCGAGCTTTGTTTCAATGCATCGAAAGCGCATGGAGCGAGAGCTTGCCAAAGTCCAGTTTCTGGCAAAGCTCCATACTCACAGAAAGATCTGCCTCCGCTGCTTTCAAAGGCTGCAAACAGAGCCGAACACAGCCAGAGGGGCTAGCACTGCCCCCATCTCTCTCGATCTCTCTCTCTCCCTCTATCTCTTTCAGAGGCAAGGAGAAGGAGGCGGACGCACCCCCTCCGCGCGTGGACGCGCGCCTGCGGGTCTTGGCAGGATTTAGACTTCCCGTCGGGGCCCAACCCCCCGGCTTGGCCATTGCTCGGGCAGAAAGAAGGAAAGAGATCACGCCAGCAGGGCAATCAACCAAAGATACTTCATGCATGCGCACTCCAACATACAGACAGCACACACAAGTAACTTTCTCCCTACCCCGCTGGCTTCGGAGATCGGGAGGAAAAGCGCGCTCCCCCACTGCTTCGAGTGAGTGTTCTCGGATTACTCTCAATTGGACGTGACTTAAGTGTCTCTCTCTCTCGGCCCCGCCATTTGCATCCTGATCTGCAGGCAAGCAACAGAAAACGATGAAGGTTCCGGCAGGCTTTTTGAGGTGTGGGATTGCAAACCTTGCAGAGCATTTTCGGCCATTCATGTTCATGTGATGCCCTCCTTCACGAACACAATGTGCAGTTGCGCTTTTGAGGAGAGACACTCCAGCTCCTCAGGCAGCCGAACATCACCACTTCCCGAAGCTGTGCGTAAGCCACGGCAAGAGAAGCGTGACTCGAGCGAAGGGCCGACAATTTCGAGCACCTCCACATCGATGCCGACCTTCCAAGACCATTAAAACACCGCGCATGGTCTGCATGCTAAACTTGGTCTGTTGCTGCCTATCCCAGCCAAGGATGACAAGATGACAAATGGATGCGTGATGGATTCTCTCTCCGGCCTCAGCACCGTCAGCTGGAGCACTTGCTTCCTTGTCGATCTGGCCCGGCGGTTGCAAAAGTACACGGGAAGAGCCACCAGGTGAGATGTCGATGACACCTGTCAGATTGGGTCTCGTGCTTAGCAAGAAGTTGGGCACTACAAACAACGAATTAGCACAGGCTCAATTGGTGCCCGCGCTTGCAGTCCACACATCTATGAGCTTGCAACTGCATGCCGCCTCCCGAACCCGATTTCCACGTCCTCACGTCTTCCAGGAGATCATATCCTGACAGGATGCCACTGAACCTGCCGTGGCTGCCACAGGAATCGTCTCCTTTCTCATCGGGTGCTGTCGGTGTTGTTGGGTGTGCCGGCTGATTGTCCTGCTGTCGCAATCTGCACAGGCAACTACAACGAAAGCATGCCTGTCCTCAACTGGTGGCGTCTGCTTGGCAGCTGAGCTTGAAGAGCCTGCATTGGCAAGACCCAAACCCAACATCCCGTGCTTGCCGATAAAAAGACATGAGCATGGCACCCACTGCTGGCGACTGCTCCGTTCGCCGCCTGTCTGGAGCCTGAGCCTGTACACGGGGAACTCTCGAAGGATTCGGAGTGAGCTGACAAGGTCCCAATCGGCCTCGCCCGTCAAACCAGCAAAGCACCCGCACGCCGTCCCCATTGTGCACCGCCGTTCAGCTCTGACAATTCGCCAAGGTGCAAATCCGACCTATTCAAGCGAACTCTGAGATGAACGGCCGCTGCTCGTGAATGCTGCAGTGGGTGAAAGAATGCTCCTCTCTATGTGTTGACTTGAGCCAAGCTAGCACCCATCATCGAGCAAGCGGAGTCCTGGTGCGCAACTGCAAAAGCATGCGAGGGCTCAGTGCATCTGGGAAGAGGGCAAGCCCTGCGCTCCGAAGCTATCGGCCTGACATAAGAACTCGGTTCAACGATTAGGAGCATCCAGTGGGCGAGTACTCGCTGTTCCCTTGGCTGCCTCCAGGCGTTGTTTTGCCTCTCCTGCAGCGGCCCTCAAGACAGGGCCACCTGCATGGAGCTCAGTGCCGGGCTCCTGGACAAGACGGAAGCGCAGGCAACACAGCGAGGCATTGCCCTGGCCTGCCCAATGTTGCCGAGCTCTTGGGGAGCCAGCCTTCCATGCCAACAGGCAGCACGGGTGGTGCATAGAAGGCAAGCTCCCTGAGGCCGGAACAGCACAGAAGCAAGCTTTGACTCCGCGACATGAGAGACCAGACGGAGGACCGAAATTTAAATAATCTCATCAGGAGGTCCTTTCATTTTCAATAAACACATCCAAAATAAGTTAGATCTCTAGTCGAAGCAGCACGTGAAGTAGAGCCGCTGGAGGATGGCCCAAACTAGTAACGACAAGGCTTGTGAAGCAGAACTAAATGCAAGGGCCAAGTCGTCAGTTCTTTTTAGCACGACTGGACAGGACGCGGGGCCTGGCTGGGAACCTCATCTGCTCTGTCCCAGTTCATGTGAGGTCAGAAGACCTCGAAGCGCTGTTGCTTCTCGCGCATGCGTGTTGTCTGGTTTGTTCTGCTTCTTAGACTCTCTGTCGTCTGCCACGCTCAGGGACTGTTGGAATAAATGTCTGCAGTCGGCAGAATGGATCTCACGCATGTTGCGACTGCTTCTGCCAAGGACGTCTTGGCTCACCTTCTTCCTTGCCTCATGAGAGCATGCAGGTGTACACCAACGGATCAAGCGGAGCAATGATGAAAGTACAAAGAGTTTTGGCAAACTACTGTATTGGATTGATGGGCGACTTTCGGAATGGAGCGGCGAAGGAGACAGGCGAATAGTTACACCAACATGTGGGTCGACACCACAGACAGAGAGACAAGTTGCTCGTTCTCTCTTCGGGCTCTGTCTGTATCTCTCTCTACATGGTCGGAATGCGACGGACCTGGGCAAGACCGCAAGGGTCGCAGACGAGGGCATCTCTGGCAAACACCAGCCTTGCCAGGGATTCGCAGTAAGACTTCCCAATCACACAGCAACGAGGCCCAACCTGATGCCTCCAGCTTCCCGGAGGCTTGACCTACCGAGCGAAGTGTTGTGGAAAAGGCAACCAGCAGCAGCAGCAGCAGCAGCAGCAGCCGAACATGTTGACTGGTTAAGGTACAGACTCGCACTCGCTTTGATACGCCGGTGTGCCATGCCAGTGCCGCGCAGTGGTACACTTTGCATGTCCGGCGACCGCTTCGCACCATTCTTCGCAGCTTCACTCCAAAATCTCGGGCTGTTCTGTCCCATCGATTCGTCCTTTTCAATCAACATATCCTTTTTTGAAGTCTTGAGACTTGGGACATGTCCCAACCCTCTTGGCCTCTTGAGGTCAAAGTGGCCAAAGCGCACAGCAAATGGGAGCAGCAGAGGCAGAACGCCGGGAGAAATCTTTAACTTTAACTAGCCGGCAGTCAATGATTCCGAGTTTAACAGAACATCAACTCAGGAAGGAGCTCAGGTTTGCAACGTCCTGCCCATTGGGACCAGCAAGGATCTACTGCGACCGCAGGGAAGCCTTGCCGGAACCGGAACCACGCATGCATTGGAGTGGCGAGCATCCACGACCATACTCTGAGGCCGCAGCAACGGCGGAAGGTGGCCTGCCTTGACTCTGCGATGTTCTCGGAGACTGTCCAACGCTTGTTGGCTCCTGCCAAGAAAGGACCGCCTTTCTCCAATGGAGGCCCATGGCTCCCAGCATGGTGTGGAGTTTGTTTTGTCGGTCCTGTGGGTCGATCTCGTCTACCTCAAAGCTCCGAAGCATCAAAACTTCGCTTCCGCATCAGACCCTCGCGACGCATCTGAAGCAGTGGCACGTGCACTCAGGATCGACGAAAGAGACTCCATGAACAACCTGGAAGGGCGTCTTGCTAGGTTTCGATTGAACAGTTTCTCTTGTCCGAGGCATGGTCGCATCAGAGAGTTCTAATTTGGCGAGGGCTTGGCCTGAGTCGCAATTGCAAGCACTCCACTAAATAAAGAAAAGAAACCGTATGTAAACACCTGATTGCTGAGTCAGGTGCCACTGTTTGCCAGGCTTTGGGGACGAAACCCGAGTCTTACCGGAGCACAACATCATGGAGACATTTGGGGCCATGCATCCCTGCAAGCAGACAATACGCCCAAGGACACTGCTCTTGCATTGTGAATGTTCGCATGACTTCGGCTCACCTCCAGCATGCACGAAGCATCACGAGAACCAGGGTGAGGTTGAGTCCCGTCAGCCCTGACTTCATCAGATGTGCCTTGCAGCGGCAGCTTCCAAAGCAGGCGCATCCTAGTCGGGGGGATGTTCCAGTCGCCAATCTAATTGGAAAGGTTCCGGCCGGCGACAGCCGAGCACCGAGCCACAGAACCGGGCGATGCAAAATCCCAAGACAAGTTTGCGGCACCTTCCACCACCAGGACCAGTTAAGCTTGAGACAGGAAATCGCAAGCGTGACATGGCGAGCGCTGTGCTTGAAACATCAATCCATTCATGCGATAAGGTGAAGCGTATCGCGCGACAGGAACTTCCGCAAGCTCGGAGAAGCTTGCTTACATCACTAGGGGAGGTAGCATCGGCACCTTGAGCGTCGAGTTGGTTGATGAGCAGCCTTGCGAACCAGTGTATGGAGCTCAGTGCTGAAGTTTCGACGTGGGCAACAATGCTTGAGCTTGGTGCCTGCATCGAGTGGCAGTACTGGTCGCTGGCACCTCGTTCATGAAGCCTCAATCGAACACCATCAAACACCCAACAGCACGAGCAAGGCGCTGGAAGCTTCATCCCCCGCTGTTGAAACTTCACGAAACTCCTGAAGAGCGGTGGCAACGCAATGTCCGCTTGGAAACATGCCTTCAAGCTCTCCCCACCTTCTGATAGGAAAGCCAGAGACAGACAGGCAGCCCACTTTGGGGCTGCTCGGATCAGGGTGCTGGGGATGGCAAGCTACCTGCTGATTCGTCCACAGCAACTGCTGGCTCGTTTGCTCGCAGCCACAAGGAGAAGCTCTGTTGGGTTTGTGCCTGGAACAGGACACATCGTGAGACGCATGGCGCCGCTGTTGCTGACACGCTGTCTGTGTTTGGGCCTCGCTTTCCAGCAGAGAGGCACGGCAAGAGCTTCGGTCTGGAAGTGCCTGGAACTGCTTCGAAACTCCAACTCCTTGCTTTGTAAGGCCTTGCAGCGTACGCAGCCTGAGGCCCAGGCGACACGGGCGCGGCAAGCCACCTCGACTCCAGGCCTCAGCGGAGCAAGCCAGAGTCAGAGCCACAGGCACAAGGAAGCCCTCTCCTTTCTTACTCCGTGGTTTGGGGGCCTCTCGGCTTTCAAATCAAGCTGTGGGGGCAGTTTCCGGCAAGCTTCTGCCATCCTTCCGGTGTCGACATGTCGTATTTGTCTCAGGGTAAACACTCGAGCCCAGAGGAGGAAACGAGGTTCGGAAGTTCAAGACTGTCAGAGATTGCATGTGCTTCTCGATGTGAAGAAGCCTGGACCTTTGCAAAGCGTCCTCTCGAGAACTTGAGTAGGAGATGGGCTCGCAGACTTGGTTGTTGGACATGTTGGAAAAGGGTGTGCGGTTGTGGTCTTCTCTCCTCCTCCAGCTCTGCCTGCAGCCTCGACAGGCTAAGCGGCGGAAGTGCTTGGGCTGGGATGTTGGCGCAGCCCTTGTTCCGGTTCTGCTGTCATGGCGCCTAGAGCTGAGGCTGCTACAGAAGGTACAGCAAGATCAGCATGGCCGCGGGGGCAGCCTTGAACGGGCATGCTGGCCCACTGAACTTCTGCATGCCTTATAGACACAAGATTCTGAGCATTCTTCAGGGTTTCGGCGCGGCTCAAGGTTCTGGCCAAACCATGTTGAGTCTGTTGGGAGGGCAGGGGGGGTACGTCGACATTCAGCCCCACAACATTGCTTACATTGCGCTGGCACCCCTGCTCAGACACACAGACGGACGGACAGACAGACTGCCAAGCCAAGCCAGGTCAGGCCGGGCCAACCCAAACCACATCCTGCCTCGGAGATTAAGTAGTATGGCAGGAGCAAGGCACAAGGCCAGAATTGCCTCAGAACATCGGCCATCTGCACGGCTGGGCACATGCACCGGCAAATTCAGCCGAGCCACTTGTCGGCACAAAACAAATAGAGAATGCAGGCGGAGCGGAACAAGAACGACGCCACGCAAGCAGTCACCACGGCCCATACGCGGAAAACACCTGGAGACAGCATGTTCCACGGTGAATGCCTGCACTGGTCGCACAAGCACATGTGTCATCAACAGCCAGAAATCTTCGTTAGTTCTCAGCCATCCGTTGCAAGTTAAACGTGAGCCTCAATCCGATTCTGGATAGGTCCTGAATAAACTGGGGGCGAAGAAGACTGTCGAATATGCTTCTGGCTCCCTAAGGCATTTTGTCCAAGCGTCGAATCCCCGAATCGTACCTAAAGTGCATCCGAATCGGAACTCTTGGCTCCATCAATCCATCCCCTGCAATTTGACAAGCGAACCTGTCACTATTCGTTCACGAGGAAGGCAAGTAAGTGCAGCCCAGACTCTCCCCAACACGGCCTCAACTTGGGTTGAACAAGGTCCCGGGAGATTCACCGGGCTCCTGCTATGTGAATGCTCGGGACTCACAGGCTGCAGCACATTGCGACTGGCCTGGCCACCGCAGAGACACTTGCCTGCAAGCCGCCCGCGCTTAACGTACCCCGTCATCGAACCACACGTAGGCGATGATCAGAAACTTTTTTCTGCCGCAGGCGTTTCGTCATATGGCATATGGTACAGGGGCCATGGCTTGCTGCTACGCAGGAGCACAAGGAGCACAATAAGTTTTGTACAACATGTCATGCTGCGGGCAGCTGATGCCTCATTGCCCACAGTCTAAGAAACGTTCATGTGCATTAGCTCGTCAGATTCAGGGCTGGATCATGTTTCAAATCATCTCCCAGTCATGTTTCCCCAGAGCTTGTGGCAAGGATGTGCTGAAATGCGCTGACAAGGGCCAGTGACCGCATCGTGTCAGCTTCAGTCCTCCAAGCCCGCAAGGCTCCTGGGAAAGTCATCTCTGCGAGAAGCACATGCCGCCACGCCACTGACCGCATCACGAGATGCGGTGTCATTGCAGCCTGGGTGCCTTGCTACTTTCTGTTGCAGGCTGAATTGGTCGACATCCACACTCAAATCCCTGTTCTTTTGTCGCCGGCCCTGTATGATGAAGCTTTGCTCATCCACCTGGCACACATGGCAACACTGGGCGGACCTATGCAACTCTCACGCAGCACAACTCCAAGCACGTCTCTCAAGTCCGTGAGCAACTCTGAAACGAGCTAGCGGTGAGGAGGGTCTTGCACGTGGGCAGCCTGACTAAGTGACCAAACGGCTCAGAAAATGGCTGTCTACAGCTAGCCTGCGAGTCTGTAGATACGTGTTTTTGAAGGCAGGGCATTGGCGTGTGTGGATGTGCTGCAGCTGCTTCCCTATCCAGCTTTGTGGGACGCGGTAATCTTGTGAAGCAATGAAATCGTGGAATTGTCGCTGGTTGGTGTCTCCATCTGCTGTGTTGTCTGCTTCATCATGCTCAGCAGTCTTGCTTGGATCTGCTTGTGGGTTTGCCGCCAGCTCATCCAGAAGTAAAGCGTTGAAGTCGCCCCCCACCAGCAATGGAGTTGGAGTTGGAGTGTGTTCTCTGTGAGAGGTGAGATGTTGTGCGAGTTGTTGCAAAAGTGGTCGAGCTCATGCTTGCTCGTGCTGGTTGTGGGGTGTATTTTAAGCCGCCAGTATGCTGAGTGGGGTTTCAATGGTGAACTGCAGGCATCGGCCATCGGCAGGTGTGAGCCGTGATAAGTGAGGCCCCCGTCAAAGTCTGTGTGGGCTTGCCTGCTGCATCATATTCTTCAAGTGCTGTGAGTCACGGCGTAGCCGTCGATCATAAATTAGTCGGGCTGCTTCATGTGGGTCTCTGTGATCGCCGGCAAAGCGTGTGCAGCTTACAGGCTTCCAGGAGACCGACTGTGTTCCAAAATGTGCACGGTATAGTGAACCCGTTGCTATCATGCAAAACCAGAAATGAGGACATGTGCCCGAATGACTTTCGCAGCCAACCTCGCCTCTGCTTCTTCAGAGATCGGTGAAATTGGGCAAGTGCGCGAGTCGGGCTGCTCTGACATTGCTTCGTCTGAACGGCGAAACCTCGCACGTATCAGTGCAAGCTGCTCCCTAAACTTCTTACAATGACATACTTCATGTGCGGGCAAAGAACAACTCCTGTGTTGTGGAGTTCAGGGACCTCGACGGGCTACTTCGCAGTGACCTGTGCATGACTGCAGTGACTTTGCCACAGACCCTGTGTTACATCAGCAACTCACAATGTGGATGGCGCCTCATCGCAGGACTGTTCCGGACCTCTGAGAGCACTTCTGTTGCAGCCGCCGCCGCAGCTGTTGCAGCAGCTGTTGCTGTTGCCACCTCTGGTGGTAAATGGCCAGCAGGTCCGCCCCTCAGCCCTCGACTGAAAATATCCACTGTTGAATAGCAGAGGTGCGGAATCGGCTTCCATCGATTGCAGTGAGGGTGCAAGAACACTCACCAGCTGCTGATGTGCACGAAGTTCACTAGAGACCTCGGCAAGGATGCTTGCAAGAAAAATCGAAATACCGTTCCAAACGCCGAGGCGCTTGGCGAAGGCGATTCTCCATCTCTTTCGTAAGTTGTTCACACGAGCTGGCAGCTGCATCGCAGCGATCCAACCGCTCGCAAAAGCGATCCTGCAATGGCCATTGCAATGGCCCAATGGCGCCGCATGCGGTAGAACTTCGTCTCACTTCCGACCTCCAAGGAGCTGGCCGTGACTTGTGCTGCTCGCTCCGCGGCTTCAAGGAAGGAGTCGTCCGATCCACGCGAAAGGAACTCGACTACGTCTCCTCGCATCATCAACAGAGAGAGCACTCAAGGATGACACCGGGCGAAAAAACTGACTGCCAACTGCAGCAGGGCTTCGGCGTGCCTCTTCCTGGAGCAATCGCAAGTAGGATGACCACGTGTGGAAAAATGACAAAGCAGCTGACCGACCAAAAAACCCTCCCTTCCATCCATAGAGCTAAGATCCTCCTGCCAAGTCTCTGCTATTTCCCGTGTACTGTCCATCGCTGCTCGGAGCTGCCGGATCTCCTCGACTGCTGGGGCGGCGCAGTCACGCTACTGTACCCTCTGCCGCCGCGTCTGACACTCACACCCAGCCCGCACTCTTGCGCCCAGTCCTCGGCAGCTAGTCGGACCTGGTCGCTGCTTGCCTCTCGACTCAGCAACACTCCAGACTCCAGCAGAAACTTGCGCGGCAAGTGCGGCAAAGCTAACCACGGGACCACGAGACGATTGCCTGGCCATTGCTTCTCTGCAGGCGTCGCTCCAGGTCCTGACAGAAGGTGGGCTTTCAGCGGCTTTCAGCGAGTGAGGCTGCGCAGCTCGAGCTCCTGCCGGAATTCGCTGACCAACTGCTGTCGTTCCTCGTGCAACACTTGCCGACTCGTCTCAGTCAGGTTCACCTCCTTCGCACGGAAGGAAAGTTTCAAAAAGCTGTGCCTTTTTTTAATGCAGGAAGTATCCACAGGTCTGAGTTGCATCCTGGCGTCCAAGTCTTTGTGGAGCTCAGCCGCCAACCTCTGGCTCGACCCCTGTGCCTTTACTAGTCGGACTTCCAGTTCCGCACTCATCTGCTTCATGTCTTCCGAGAGTTTGTGCAGGGTTCCTTGCTGCTGGGTGCGCATGTTGTCCAGTGTGTGCCGGAGCTCCTCCATGGCCATTTCTGATGCCGAGGACTTCCTCTCCAGTTTCAGCTCCATCTCTCGTCGCAGCTCTTCTCCCTGCCGCTGCGACTGAGATGCTCGAGCTTCGAGCTCCTGGCGCAATTCCCTCATGAACTGCTGCGTGGCCATTCCATTGTCTGCCAGCTTCTGCTCAAACTCCTTCCGCACTTCGAGGGCCAACTTTTGCGATCTCATGTCTCTTACATCTTCGAGAGCACGCGCATCGCTTTGCAGCTGCCAGTGGTCTCGATTTGACATTTGCGCGATCTGCGATTCGAGCTGACACCGCAAGTCCTGCGATGCTAGGTCGACTTTCCGTTCCAGGGCTTGCAGCATGCGGTCCTCAACGTCCGATTGCAAGCTGGGCCCTGACAACAAGGCCATCGGCAGATCCTTCATGACAGAGACCAGGTCCTGAACTTGCACCTGCAAACGCTCGGTGGTCTTCTCGGCACTGTCTGCCCGCTTGCTCAAGGTGCCCTCCAGGTCTCGCAACTGTTGTGCGAGGAAGCGGAGCTCTTGACTCGTGGAAAGGCTGATGGAGCTGAGCCTGGCATCCATCTCGTCGACCCTCTGCTCCGCTCGGGGGTTGGCACCCGCTTCGAGCTTTGCCTGGACCAGGTCCATTCGCTGCGAAAGGTCCTGGGTTCCAATAAGGATAGTTCAAGGATTCCTCCGCTGAACTCATGGAGGTCACTAGGCCGAAGGTGCACCCACCATGGCTACAGGCAGGCACGGGTCCTGAATCACAGGCTTCTCGGTCACAATTTTCTCGGTTCGCTCCCGGTGTCCTTCCACCACCCTTTCCAGGGTCGAGGCCAAGGCTCGGACGTCCCTGACCTCACGAGTCAAGTGGAGGAGCTGCTCTCCGTGCTGCCTGGGAGCAGGGTCAGATGATAGGTGCAGGTATGGGCAGGTGTCAGGCTGATCGGGCTGGGACCATGGAATGGTTTCGTCCCCACCGCCTCATGTCATCTTGCGCCTGTCTTTGCCATTCCTTGTGGGCAGTGTCGCCATCCTTTGGCCCAGCTCCTTCTGTATTTTGTAACGCACGAAGCAGGTCCAAATGCTGCTGGGAGAAGTATTCCTCCAAGGTGGCCAAGCGAGCGGTTGCAGGCTCAAGCTGTTGGAGCACAAACTCTTGGCATTCGATGCGCAGAGCCTCTGAAGCTTTCTGCAGGGTCTCTGCATAGTTTCCAGGATCCTCGTCCGACAGAAGTGCTACGTCGGACTCGGCGTTGTCCACACGGTCAGCCAACTTCTTCAGCTCCAACGACATGCTGTCCCACTGCGAAGTTAGACGGTCATGCACGGCGATCATGCTCTCACCGACGTGGTCTTCAAGCTCATGCAATTTTTGCTCGTGCGCAGCGAGGCGTGCATCAAACCCGTGCATGGTTTCTCCAAGACGCAGAACTTCCTCTTGAATTGCAGATGTCTCGTTGAAGCCAAACCGTCGAGCCTGGTTTCTGAACTCGTTCAAGCGCGAATCCAGCTCCTCACCCACACGTCGCATCTCTGTCAATCTGGCTTCAAAGTTGAACGCGCCGAAAGCTGCCTGCACGTCTTGCAATACCTGCGGCAGTGTCAGACCAGCGGCAGAAACAGCTGAGCAGCCAAACGACAACCCATCATGTCAGCAGCTGAACCGAACCGGACTCAAAGACTAAGACTGAAGTGCTCATAGAACCGGCTGACCTTACCAAACCAAACGCTCCGATGAGACTCCAGGGCAACCTAGGTGTTGCTGCGTAACTTTAGCCTCAGAGTGCATAGACGAGAGGAGCATAGCGACGCGGTCCACCAAGGAGTCGATCTGCAGTTTCAGGACTGCGCTCTCAAGATCGGCAACAAAATCGACAAGCAACGCATGCGGTCGTCACCTTGCATGTCACACTGAAGATAAAGCTCTCCTGTTTTGCCTTTTGCAACTGGGTCTCGCACATGCGTTTCGGACTCAAAATTATGCAACTCACAGCTGGGTGCCAGCGCCAAAGCGAAGAGCTGAAGCGTTTCTATCGTGAACAGATGGCGCTCAGCTTCTTCGGCATCGCCTACCTCCTGCTGGCAACTGCCTCTTTTTTTGAGGAGGGGCCGGAACTCATGCGCTTTGCACATCCAGGGCTCAGGCACGTCGAGCATACAAGTCTCTAATACCAATTCTTTTCGGCCTTGCTTCAGCACTTGTCAGCTTGTTTGCTGCCAAGAATGTCAATCCGCCAGAGGGTCACCCTCGACGAAGCTGAAGACTAAGAAAGCTGTTCAAGCTGTGCAAATTCTCCAGCAGCCCTGGGGCCCCTGGCTGCGCACGCACGCTCGACACCGGCCATTGCATCTTCGGGGGCCGCCCCGGTGACAGAATTCGCCCGCAAGCTTGTAAGGAAAAGTTTCACATGGCCACGGATGAAAAACTCGGAATCACGGACATGAGCTTGAGCTGAAACTGCGATGGTTCAAACTTTCGCGATTGGGACCTGCGATGGTTCAGTCAGAAGAGCCTCAAAGCATATTTAACCGAGCGTGACAGCTCCTGCCTGCTTCTGCTGCGCTGTCACGGATGCACGGAGATCGCAGATGCCGGTTCCGGCCCATGTTCCAGAAACCAGGCCGGCAAAGGACTTCTCGGCATCCAGAAGAGAGGACGAAAGGTCTGGGCCTTGCGGCTTCATCTGTGTTGGTGCTTGCACAGGCCACTGCGTGCTTCCAAGCTGCTACTGCGGACCAGTGCGCTTTGAGGAAAACGGAAGCTTCCACTTCTGGATTTCGGAGCTGGCACTGGCACAAGTCCCATCGCTGCCATGGCCAAGATCCAGGGAACAAACTGCAAGCCGTCGGCTTTAAATGGGTGTTTGGTGTTGGCGGACTTCGAACTAACGACTTTGCAAACATGTTGTTTCCTGGGAACCTAAATTGAATCATTGACAAGGCCAAGTTTGAACGAGCCTGCAATTGCTCGTCTGCCCTCTAAAACATGGGGCGCAGGCCAAGCCTGACCGACGGCGCTCTCCGACAGACTGGTGCCTGCACGCAGGCGAATATTTGAATGTGTTTCCCTTTGCCGAGCAACTCCGGCCGGCCAGCCTGAACAAGAAGCTTGAACCTCGCTACCTCAATGGGGCAAAGCAAGAGTTTGCAGTGCTTTTCCTTGGTGAAGGGGAAACGGCATGTTGCAACGTGGCTGCATTTGATGATCCGTGCCATCCTGCCCGTTTGCTCCAGCTGCTCCGTACTTTCGTTGGATGAGGCCTGCCAAATGCCGAGGATCCACCGACTGACTTGGCGCGGCATGCCCGAAATGCCCTGACTGGAAATATGAGGCGTCTTTTCTCCACGATTCTCCACTCGAGGATCTGGACGACTTCGAACGACCCTCTCACTTTATGCCGGCATATGCGCAAACGAAACCGGGGCCGAATGCGCAACGGAGACACACTTCACAACCTTCTCAAACGGTTCACAAAATCTGAGACATGTCAAAACTATATCCTATACATTGTGTGAGGGTTTTTTTGGAATGATTCGGAACGTCGCATACTGCCGCGGCGAATCCAAAACCTGAGCCCGCAGGCCGGCTTCGCACAGTCATAAAGTAAGGCTCAAACTATCCCCAAACTCTGAAGGCTTCAATGTCGAACGGTTAGGATTTGGGACTGTTTGGGAGATGCGGGTTTCGGAATGAGCCGCACTGTTGCCGAGCGGTGCGGAAATTCGATTGGCTCCTGCTTCGGGGCTTCAAGTAAAGAGAACTAGGCAAAATATGAGGCGCACACCAGAACCGAAGCCCCAAGGTCGACCTTGCCGTAACGCTTGTGAAAGCTACTAGTAATTCCCGATCTCTTCATACCAACTGCAGGTGACTCACCACAGAACAGAACGCGCAACAGTGAACCATCGCCCAAAATCTGGCGATATGGGCCATACAATTCAGAAAGCTATCTAGAGGGTGGGCGATCCAATATAAAGGAGTCAAACCGACTAAACATCAAGAAGAACAGAAAAACACTTGTTTATGAAAATGCGAAACAATAAGGAAAATTGAAAACTGAAAATCGCAACACATAGAAAGATTGAGGGAAAATCAGATTATAGGAAAGTTTGAGAAACATCAAACCCGAAAACGCACAAAGACGGTCAAAAAATGTGGTGTGCCATCGACGAAGATGAGCATAGAGAAACTTGAAACACTATGCTGCAGACTATGCTGGGACATGACATCGACTCATTTTGACTCATCACCTTCCAGGACAGTTTTCGTCACGCCACCATGTGGCATGAATTTTGCCGTGCAAACTTGTGGAAGACTATTAGCATCGGTAAACATAAGGCAATGCATCTCACATCATCTCACAGTCTGTCAAGCCCTGCGACAATGCAAGTGTACAGAGAGATTCTGCCACAATGGACCACATGGGTTCAGGAATAACACGTGGTAGTTTAAAACTTTTGTCGACATCTTGGAATCGTAACGAATGCGTCCTAATCGTTTAGAAGTTTTCGGAATGCAGAGGAATGAATTGAAATATTGCCGATGCTTTTCGAAGGCCGCACAATCGAATCCAGCAACCGCATCACCCACCTATATATATATATGCAGATATATATTCGACGGCATGTGGCCTCTGCTGTTGCCCGCGTTTGAGAGCTGCCAGCGTAGGAGCTCTCTGACGCTCGCCCATCAGGTTGTACCTAGCAGAGGTGCGACGCAAACAATGGGATGGCTGGTTCGACCGGAAATGGTCACGGAGAGAAGGAGGGCGGAAGCGAGGGGCGTGCTCGAAGGGAGGGAACAGAGAAGGAATATCTCTGAGCAAACATTGATGCCGCTGAGCGGCTCCCTCACGCAGTGCTGCAACGGCCTGCTCGCTGGTCAGCATCATCTTGAGCCGCCTGATCAAGCAGACCATCGCCACCAACACCGCCACCACCGCAAGAACGTTTACGAAGACCCCAGCAATCGTGACTTTGCCTCAAGCGATGTAGGAGCTGCACAGCGAATGCGAAGAGGCCCAGGCCAGTCAATGTGCAAACCACAAAAATGGGTGCTTCCACCAGAACGGTGAGAGCAACGCCTGAGAAACTGTCACTGCACACGAAGCCAGAAGTAGCCTCGCCAAAGTGTTTAATTGTTATGCCAAGAGACTAACATGATGGTGATCATCGTCCTAGCAGCCGGGACTTGACGGATGCCCCATCCACATACAACATGTGTGTACTTCAGACCTATATACTCTCCAGGAATGTAATTTGGTGGGGCGGCGGGCAATCTGCGGCATGGGGCCTTAGGCCCTGTCGAGCCTACCTGTCCTAACCTGTCCTAGCGGTCCTAGCCGTACATGGGAGGGTGGCAGCCCCCGAGATTCAGAAGCAAACCACCAGCACCCGAGTGAAACTGTGCAAATGAGATGTCAGAACTCGCCGTCCTGCGCATCGCTGAAGCTCAAAAACATGCACACTCTCCTTGGTTCGGATGCTCCTGTTTGACCTCATCTGCTTCCAACACGTTGTCGATCATCTGGACAACGCCTTGGAAGAATCCCCCCTACATTCCTGAAGCTCGAGCCTTAACTGCCACACTGCCACACTTGTCAATTTGTTTTGGCTCCCGCTGGGCATGTGTCGAGGACACGCTTTGCAGGTCACATGTCGGACAAGGCATTTATCAACTTGTCAAATTGAGGCCCTCGCGGTCTGCAATGTCCAAAGCCAACCACCCCTCCCCACCTGTCCGCAAAGACTCCCAGTCGTCACTCCCGTCTGCAATTAGTCTTCCGTCTGTACATCGGCGGAAGCATCGCACCTTCTCGAGAGCTGTAGTCCAGGTCGACAATGTCGGGCTCATCCGCCGCAGCAGCGCTTTTCGATGCAGTGCCTGTGCAAAGTGAGGACAGACGTGATCGATGAGCTCGAAACATCATGTAGCGCAGAAAAATGCCGGAGGAGACGTGCCTCGACCAAAACAGAAAACCTTCCAGGCATGGAAGCCCTTGCAAAGGTGCGAATGCCGTCCTGCCGAGGTTCAACAAGGCATGTGGTACGTGAAGACTGGATGTTGAGCTCGCAATGTCAAGTGTGCAGCGGCACGTTCTCGTCTGTAGCTCTCTTCAGCCTCCTCCTCCTCAACAGCAAGAAGTGATGATAAGCAGCCCTTGCAATGGATGCCGACGCTGCTGCCTGCCTGCTGCAGAAAGAGGCTCAGCTTTTCGATTGGGCTGCGCTCCTCGCAAGCTGTCTGGTCAATTGCACCCTGATAGCTTTTGACCGAACCGTGCGGCAACACGGGATTCTTGTGTCAGAAGAACGAGGGATTGGTTAGACACACCGCGAGGCACGCCCGTTCCACGGCTCGTAAGAGTACTGGCCCGGCCCCGTGCTGCGCTCAAAACGCTCAGAGTGCCTCAAATCCAAGCCGAATGAGGCTTCTCGTGCTCCTCATCCCGCCACTTCATGTCTAAGGTTGAACCCATGGGCC